GGTAATTATCTAAGGTATCTATAAAAAAAAAAATTATATTGATTCGGTAATTTTTAAAAAAGTTATGGCAATTTTAAGTAAAATAAATTGAAAAAATATCGAAAATTAGCGATTTTTAAATTTGTAATTTTTTGGGGGATTTCCCCCGTTTACGGGGAACGAGGGAATTTTTTTCAATTTTTGAGGGTAATGTCTTCGACTAGATACGATTTGTGATCTTTTGACATATTGTTCATCAAAATCGGTCCAGCGAGAGCTGAGATTGAGCGTTCACAGACACAAAAAAAAAAATAAAAAAAAAAAAAAAAAAAAACATCATAGTAAAATTAATACCTTCTCAGCTTCGCATCGAAGCTAAAAAAAATTAATAGATTCTCATCGAAGCATTTTATTATGATAGAGAATGTTAATCATTGTCAGATATTTTTTTAGTTTTTCAGTACTATGATGCATACCACTATACTGATTTTTTTTATAGTAATATTACAGTAACTTACAATAATAAAGTATTGAAGGGGAGAAAAAATATATACAATTTTTTCTTTTTATTAAAAAACAATTATATTATATTTTAATAATGTGCGATTTCAATTAGCCAAAGCTTCATGTATTTAATAACACTATAAAATTCAATTTTTATGTCCTATTTCAAACATAATCACAAATTATAAAATATGAACATTGAAATTATTTAATTAATTTTTATTGAAATTAATTTCTTAATTTTAAACACACTTTTTTAATTAAAATTTTAAAAAGCTACTTGATCTGCTGGTTCGTTATTAATATCTCGATTAAGATAAAGTATGTCGAATGAAAAAGGGTTTATTAAAAAATATTATTTCTCATAAAAAAATTGTGTGGATCCATAAACTTTTCAATAAGTTATAGCATTATAAAGTTAAATATAATATAAATAATAAAATCGAGAATTTTCACACGAAAATAGCATTCGGTAGCCATTTTCGCCGTGAAGACAAGTCCAGAGGTCAAATTTTTTTTTTTCAAATTAAAGTATATTACATTAGCTTTAATTTAAGATATATATAAAAGTGTCAGACCTTCCGGAACATTTTCAAAAGTTATGTTGAAAAAGTAAATTTTTTGTGAAAAAGTTGTCATTTTAAATCCCCCCCTGTGGGCAGAAAAAAGGTCAGATTTACAAAAAAAATATACCAAATGATAGGTAAAGATATCAAACATCTATAAAAAAAAAAATTATATTGATATGTTCATTTTTGAAAAAGTTACGGCAGTTTTTAGTAAAAAAAATTTCGAAAAATTATTTTACAAAAATCGTAATTTTTTATTAACTTTGATGTCAACTTTCACCACGAAGACAAGTCCAGAGGTCAAATTTTTTTTTTTCAAATTAAAGTATATTACATTAGCTTTAATTTAAGATATATATAAAAGTGTCAGACCTTCCGGAACATTTTCAAAAGTTAAGTTGAAAAAGTTCTACTTTCTATATGCATTTTTTATATTTGAAGCCCCCCCATATATAGGGAAATAGTCTGATTTAAAAAAAAAGTATATCCAATGAAAGATGTATATAAATACTACTTCTCATGAAAAAATTGTATTGATCCATACATTTTTTAAAAAGTTATAGCACTTTAAAGTAAAAAATGTAAATTATAAAATCGAAAATTTTCACACAAAAATAGCATTCGGTAGCCGTTTTCACCATGAAGACAAGTCCAGAGGTCAAATTTTTTTTTTTCAAATTAAAGTACATTACATTAGCTTTAATTTAAGATATATATAAAAGTGTCAGACCTTCCGGAACATTTTCAAAAGTTAAGTTGAAAAAGTTAATTTTTTGTGAAAAAGTTGTCATTTTAAATCCCCCCCTGTGGGCAGATAAAAGGTCAAATTTACAAAAAAAATATACCAAATGATAGGTAAAGACATCAAGCATCTATATAAAAAAAAATTATATTGATATGTTCATTTTTGAAAAAGTTACGGCAGTTTTTAGTAAAAAAAATTGAAAAAATTTCGAAAATTAGCGATTTTTAAATTTGTAATTTTTTTGGAGGTTTCCCCCATTTACGGGGAACGAGGGAAATTTTTTCAATTTTGAAGGGTAATGTCTTCGACTAGATACGATTTGTGATCTTTTGACGTATCGTTGAAAGAAATCCGTTCGGTGAGAGCTGAGAAAAAGTGGTAACAGACACAAAAAAAAAAAAAAAAAATAAACACATCTTAGTAAAACCAATACCTTCTCAGCTTCGCGTCGAAGCTAAAATAGATGTAATTAGGAAGAAAGACACATAAGTTTGTGTTAAACAATTTTTTTTTTACTTAAATTCTAATTTAAGTTGATGTAAAAACCTACTGGAGTGTGGTTTTGCCTAATATATATTCTATTTTCATGGAAAAATTATTTGTTAGTCGGTGAATAAAGCTAATTAAAATTTTATATTTAAAATAAAGTTGAACTAAGTTTAAATTGTAAAATTGCTTAGAATTTTATTAGGTCAAAATAAATAAATAACAAAATTTTGTTGGTAACTAAACATTTATTTATGCTAAATTAGTTAGATGGCTCTCCATTATTCATATTAGCAGAAGCATTAAACTCGTATGATTCAACAATACGTTTTTCACCATTTGGTGGAGGACCAATCAATTTTACCATATCTTCATAATTAATTGATTCTTTTAATAACAATTCTTTAGCAATCTGAAATTAAATTAATAAACTGAATTTAGATAATACAATTACAATTAATGTTTTTCTACCAATTCCAGTTTATCATAATTTTTTTTAAGTAAATTTTCCGTTTTAAAATAAGCATCTGCTATTAAATGGGAAACTTCTGTATCCATGAGTGCTGCTAATTTATTGCTATATGGTCTAGGACTATCCTTAGACATTTCTGGAAATGATAACAATCCAACCATATTATTCATACCATATTGACGAATCTGATCATTACACAAATTGAATTATTATAAATGATGCAAATTTATAATGTATAATTTTACAAATTACTTGAGCATTTGCAATTTTTGTAACTTTTTCCAAATCATTTTGTGCACCAGTTGTTATACTATTAAACACTATAGATTCAGCAACTCTACCACCAAGTCCCAAACACATTTTTTCAAATAACTAATGAAAAATAAAATATAAATATAATTTATAATTGGATTAAATTTTGATATAAAATCATTTCTTCAATAATGCTTACTGCTTGTTTTGATAATAAATAACGCTCAGTAGGAGTATATTGTGCAAATCCTAAGGCAGCGTTAGTTCTTGGTACAATAGTAACTTTTAATAGAGCATCAGTTGTTGGTAACATCCAACCAACAAGTGCATGGCCTGCTTCATGGTAAGCAACTATTTCTTTCTCATTAGGAGAAATAGCATGAGATCTTTTTTCAGCTCCTCCAACAACCCTTTCTACAGCATAATCTAAATTGGCTTCTACAACAAATTTTTGTTTATTCCTAGCTGCATGAAGTGCTGCTTCATTACAAACGTTAGCTATGTCAGCTCCTAAAATATATTTGATCAATTATATATTTCTAAACCATCTTAAACATAATTTTTTTTAACTTAAAATTTGTGATTTTATATAGCTCTCAGGAATTGTTATAAGAATTTATTTTATTATTAAGTACCAAATATTTAAGTAGATTTACACATTGTATAGCACAGTATAATGTGAAAAATCTTTTGACTGGCGGCGTTTTAAAGAATTTAGAGAAATTATTGGTGGAGATGCAGCCTAATTAGTCATTAAAATTCATATTATTTAACTTACCGCTAAAACCAGGGGTCAAATGAGCCATTTTCTGTGAATATAAACTCGGATTCTTATCCAATTTAATTTTAAGGTGTTGCTCAAATATTTCTTTACGTTCTTCTAATGTAGGAAGATCTATGAGAATATGTCGATCAAAACGGCCTGGTCTTAGAAGAGCCTAAATTAAAATATAAATTATTTATATTTGCCTATATGTCTAAAAAATTTATTCCAACTAATGACTGATACATAATTAAACCTGTAATGCATGTACATTTTTGATTCATTAATAAAAAATTAACATTAAAAAATATTGATAAATTAAAAGTACTCATATTGTTTTCAAAATATATTAATTAAAATATCCAGTGTATTAATAAGATAAATATTAGCTTCAATGAATAGATATGAAAGTGTTGATTTTACTCATAATTTTTCTTGTGTGTGGCACAATAAACACGAATACTCCACTTCTAATAGACTAATTTTACTCGTCAAAATATCACAAGATATATATCATTTATGCTATTAGCTTCATAATAAGCGTTCCCTTCAATCTCCATAATAAAAATAAATGTCACAAAAAATTATAATAGTTATATAATAGTTAAAATTTTGACTGGTCATAAATCTGAATGTGTTGAAGCTTTCGTGGATTGTCGTATTGCATGAAATATTTACGGATGTATCCACGTTTTCAGTTATGAGCTGACATTTCGGACTTGTTGCAAGTTGGATATACAATAAAAAACATAAACAAGACACTTAGGAAAGTGGAAAAAAAAATACAACTTTTAACAATGATGATGAAAACAAAGAAGATGACAAGAAAGAAACACGAATACTGCTGTACATACAAGGAATTACCAACCTCATTTCAAGAATCGAAAACATAGAAAATGAATGGACTATTAGCAAAACTTGGTTATTTATTATACACCAGACAAAAGAAAACCAACATACACCAAATAAATAACTTGACGTGTGAAAAACTACAATTAACATAACAAAAAATTGCCAGTGTAGAAAAGGAAGAGCTAAATGTCAAGAATGCTATAAACAACAAACTGATATCAGTCAATAATAACATGACTAAAATAACATTGATGTTATCGGTATTGGTATATATTTTGTGAAAATGTGACCCTTTACCTACCCACAGGGAGGATTTCATAATGGTAATGTTTTTACTAAAAATTAACTTTTTTAGCTTAAGTTTTGAAAATGTTCCGGAAATACTGACATTTTTATATATATCTTAAATCAAAAGCTTATGTAATATACTTTAATTAGAAAAAAAAATGTTGAACTCTGGATTGTCTTCATGCTGAAAATAGCTACCGTATTTAAAAAGTTGCTATTTTTTTGTGTTAAAATACTTAATTTTATATTTTATTCAAAATGCGTTTAATTTTTATTACATTTTGATTGAATAACTGCAATTAGATTTTTTCTAATTAAAAATGATCCTGTAAAACTATATTAATGTTAGCATTAAAAATATTATTAATTTATGACTAAAAAATATTAAACTCAAAAAGCCACAAAAAAAATTACTTAACACATACATTATGTGTATGTTTTTAGTGTTGATAATGGTAACATTGTTTCCAAAATACTTATCCGCGATTTTTTTAGTAATTTTTTTGTGGCTTTTTGAGTTTAATATTTCTTAGTTTTAAATAAATTTTATTTTTAATATAGTTTTAATTTTAAATAATATTAGACACAAGTGATCAATTTTTATTATTTAAAAATAATCCGTGCAAAATTTCAAAACAAAAAATCATGTTTAACCTATTTTATAAAATATATTATATCAAATTAGATTTGATAAGACATGTTCAACTACAAAGTTGAATATTTTACTTTGTTATTTATTAATTTTTGAACTCTATTTGCGTGTGTTACTACCATTCTATAATATTCCAATTTTTTTAGTAACATTTTACTGTATAGATTTAAGTTATATAATAATAGTACAAAAATTAAATTACCTTATCAAGTATATCGGCTCTATTTGTTGAAGCCAACATTAAAACACCTTCTTTTGACCCAATACCATCCATTTCTACTAGAAGTTGATTTAAAGTTTGTTCACCTTCATCTCCTCCACCAGAAGGTCCTCTGGTAGATCTTTTACGACCAATAGCATCAATTTCATCAATATAGATTATGCAAGGAGATCTTTTTCTACCTTCTTTAAACAAGTCACTGAAATTTTATACAATTTATAATATGGTAAAGTTAATATTTATTAATAATAATTATATATAACAATTATTATAAATTAGATGAAATGATTAATTAATATGAATATTATTTTAAATTAAAATATATATTAGAGCATAATGTAAAAAAATGATTACCGGACTCTAGCAGCTCCCAGACCTCCAATCATTTCAATGAATTCAGAACCATTCATAGAAAGAAATGGAACATTCGACTCAGTTGCTACAGCTTTGGCTAGCATTGTTTTACCACAACCAGGAGGTCCTAATAATAGAGCTCCTTTTGGTACTTTAGCACCTAAATTTTTGTAGTGTTCTGGTCGTTTTAAGTAATCTACAAACTCCATAACTTCTTGTTTTGCTTCTTTGAGACCAGCAACATCTTTAAACCGAACTCCTTTTCCTTGACCTATCAATGGATCAACTAAAGTATATTTTGCTCTTTTTATTTGGCTCTAGAAAAAAAAAACTTATATAATTTTTATAATAAAATATTCTAACACAATTAATTTATTTGATTTATATTAAAAAATATCAACTCCTTGTGTTTTGTTATTAAAAAAAAACAATTTTTAATTGTTTGCATTTTTAGTGAAATATTTAGTGAAATTTTATTTTTTTTTCACTATGAATTATAATTACAATAAATGTAAATTATTTGTGATTTTATGTGTTTAAGTTAATTAAATGTTATTAATATTTATAATTTACATTAACAGTATTAACAAAAATAACTATAATTTTTTTTCACAACAAAATATACAATAAATACTTCAGTACATAAAATACTAAATACTTACAAACATATCAAAATTTATTGGAGATTTTGCTCCTTTAGATCTACTAAAATATGCTATTGCGAGCAGAGTAGTTAAAACTATGAATAAAAATATTTCTGGAGCATTTAATGATCGATCATAAATTACAGGTACACCATGTCCTGCTTTAATACCTAATTTATTTTCAGCTTCTCTTAACTTTAGTTCAAACCGTTCTAAATCGGCTATATTCATATGATATGTTCTTTGATCAGTCTAGAATAAGCAAACAAACAATATTAAACAAAATATAAAATATTTTCACAATATACAAACATTAGTTATAAGATTGTATAAGAAGGATTATTGTGTAACTCTTGCTTATACCTTAAAATAATATTAACAAAAAAGTTTTATTCATAATAAGTTATTGCCTTGTTAAAATTTCATTTTGTTTATATTTATTTAATTGTATAATTGTATTTTGTTTTAATCTTGTTATTAATTATGGTTGGTTATTAAACATGAACAACTAGTTCAGCATATTTATTATTTAGTTTATGAACAAATCAATATTTTATAAAAAATAAAAAGTAATTAATATCTTAATAAATTCTTTTATTATTATTAAAATGCTTTTTCTACTCTTAACCTATATAATAATAATTTAGTCCAAACACAAATTCTTATACCTAAACTTAATAATATCTCCTCAATAATAGGTATAATAAATTGATTGATAACAATAATTATACAATTTTTTCAATTTATAAATGAAAATAAAAATAAAATATAAAATTAAGTACATGTACCTTTCTTCCTTTGATAATAGCTCCATCATATAACCTAATTGTAACAATATCTAAATCGGGATGGGCAATTATTTCCTCTACTTCACCTTTTGATAACATTAAGTGAACGAATTCATTCCACGATATATACCGCATATCCTGAAATTTATAATTTTTTTTTCCTGTTATATATTAGTATTACAACCCAACTGTACAGATTAGTCACATAATAAATTAGATATCCACTTATTCTCTATACATTAAACTCAATACATTACAAAACTTGTACAAATATACTGACTTTTAAAAGTATTTTACCATATGCTATCAATTTCTTCATCAGACTTATTAAACCTTCACCTTTCAAAAAGACTAACAGTACCCAGTAGTAACTAAGACCCTTTGTATCTATGACTTCCATTTTTTTTTACTTTTTTACCTGTTACCCCTTATTGATCTAGAGAAGGCTTTTGATAAAGTGGATTAGAAAATCTTATTCAAGATATTAAGAGAAAAAGGAATTGATTGGAAAGATAGATGGCTTATATTCAATTTATAAAAAGAACAGAAATAAATGTAAATGAATCGGTAAAAGAAACAGCAATAAGGAGATGAATGAGACAAGAATACCCCTTGTTGCCCTATTTATTTAATCTTTCATTGAAATGAGCATAGATATAATGAAAACGAAGACCAATGGAGTGAAAATAAATGGTCAACATATACATTGTATTTGCTTTGCAGATGACATTGTTATCTTAGCATAGTGTGAACATGACATGAATAATATGCTCAAAATTCTATCAATTGCACTTGATAAATTTAAAATGAAAATAAATTCCATGAAAACCAAAATAATGCTTATAAGTAAAATGCACACCGATCTAAATTTTAGTATACAAATAAACAATACACAATTACAACAGGTCTGAGAATTTTGTTACCTTAGAAGTATCATAGCTTCCAATAACAAATCAACACCAGATATCACAAGGAAAATAGCATTGGCAAAGCGTATTCCAAAACAAGAATCAGCTTCTCACCAATAAAAATCTGAGTATTGGCATATGTAAAAGATTCGATAAAACATTTGTCTGAAGTGTGCTTTCATATAGAAGTGAAACATGGACAATTGACAAGAAAATCAGAAGCAAACTAGAAACATTAGAGTTATGGATATGGAGAAAAATGACTAAGACAAAATGGATAGACAAGAAAAGAAATGAACAAGTGCAAGAAGAAGTACGAGAAGAAAGATAGCTAATGAAGGTGATTGAATCAAGAAAAATATAGTTAATCGGACACATCATCCGATACAATGACTTTATAATCAACATCTTCAAAGGAAAAATAACTGGGAAGAAACCAATAGCATGCCCAATTTATATTTTGAAAATATTCTCGAACTCATGAACTGTGCGTCTTTTGTTTCACTGAAGAATTTGGCATCGAACAGAGAAGAGTGGCTTCAATGACAAGACAAGACGTTGTCTTTAATAGATGATGATAACCTCTTATTACTTCTTCTTTACCTTTTTTAAATCAAAACTTGTTAAGCTACTCTATTTTGAAATTCTTTTTTTTAGCACTCATTTGTGTACTCATGTTATATAGTGTTCAGTAAGGAAAAAAATTTATATTGTTCACATTGTTTAAAACAATTGACCTGATTCCTTACTTTTGAATACTTAAAAAAACAATTTAGACTGTAAAACCTCATTGTAATTTTTCTTTGCTATGCCTCAAGTCTATAGTTGATAACACTGTTGTTCAATTTATTACTATTTATAGACTTTCTAACAATCATATATACCATATATACAGAGTGGAACAGTCTTACAGACAAAACTTAATAACTTTTGTTATAATTTTTAAATTTTTGTTAGGTGTAGTAACATGAAAAAAAATTTTACAAACTTAATCAGAAGTATAGTGGAAGTAGAATATCAAATGTTGAATTTTAAGTATCAGAAATATTTAAAAAAAAAATAGTGGAGACATTGCATAGTAGGGTCCAGTATAGATTTAATCTGACAGTGATTAAAATCACTATCATAAGAAACGCTTCGATGCAAATCTGTAGATAGTGTTTAATTTTAAAAAATTGATGGATAATTGCAAAAGCAACATCAACTTCTATTAAAATAAAATACAAAACCCATAATTATCATACAAAAATAGTATATTTTTCAATATGGTAGCCATTTGCGTATAGAAGATAGATCGTCGGGACAAATTTTTTTTTTTCATTTTGTAGTACATAAAATAAGCTTTAATTTTATATATGTTTAAAGGACGCAGTATTTCCGGAACATTTTCAAAAATTAAGTTGAAAAAGTTATTTTTTGTAAAAAAGTTACTATTTTAAATCCTCCCAGTGAGCAGAATAAGTGTTAGATTTTCAAAAAAAATTATATCAAATGAAAGGGAAATATCTAAGGTTTCAATACAAAAAAATATTATTTTTATTTGTTCATTTTTGAAAAAGTTATGGCAGTTTTAAGTACAAAAAACATCCCGATAAAATGTAATTTTTATCGCAAACATTACATTTTTTTTTAAATTTTCGACAGCCATTTGCACATAGAAGATAAGATGTCGGGACAAATTTTTTTTTTTCATTTGATAGTATATAACATAACCTTTGATTTGATATATGTTTAAAGGACGCAGTATTTCCGGAACATTTTCAAAAGTTCAGTTGAAAAAGATCTATGTTTTTTACAATATTTTAAGTTTTGAACGCCCCCTATATAAGGGGAAATTGTCCAATTTTAATAAAAAGTATGTCAAATGAAAGATGTACTTATAATGTATTTAGAAAAAAAAAATTTGTGCTGATATATACATTTTTCAAAAAGTTATAGCATTTTTAAGTTGAAAATTTAAAATCGAAAATCGAAAATTTTAACACAAAAATAGTGTTTTTTTAACTACGGCAGCCGTTTAAATGTAGAAAAAAAAGTGTCGGGACAAATTTTTTTTTTTCATTTTGTAGTACATAAAATAAGCTTTAATTTGATATATGTTTAAAGGACGCAGTCTTTCCGGAACATTTTCAAAAATTAAGTTGAAAAAATTAATTTTTGTAAAAAAGTTGCCATTTTAAATCCCCCCCAATGAGCAGGTTAAGTGATAGATTTTCAAAAAAATAATATCAAATGAAAGGTAAATATCTAAGGTTTTAGTATAAAAAAAAATTATGTTGATTTGTTGATTTTTCAAAAAGTTATGGAAGTTTTAAGAAAAAAAAGTGAAAAAATTTCGAAAATTAGCGATTTTTAAATTTGTAATTTTTTTGGATATTTCCCCCATTTGCGGGGAACGAGGGAATTTTTTTCAATTTTTAAGGGTAATGTCTTCAACTAGATACGATTTGTGATCTTTTGACGTATTTTTGAAAGAAATCGGTCCAGTGAGAGCTGAGAAAAAGTGGCAACAGACATAAAAAAAAAAAAAAAAAAACACATCATAGTAAAATTAATACCTTCTCCGCTTCGCATCGAAGCTAAAAAAGTTACAAAATTTTTCTTCAGTGAATTAAATTTGAACTTAAATTTGATGTGTCCAAAAGTGTTTTACAAGCCACTGTGCCATGGGTTATATCATATATTACTAAAATATCAAATTTATTAGAGTTATAATTTAGTTTAATTCTTTTGAAAAAAAAAATCAAATGATCACTCTTTTTTCTTGAGATCTTTGCAGGAAAAATAGTATAATTCTTATATAAACCACTGAGCTTATATGAGCCGAATGGGAATACCAGCAAAATTAGTCAGAATGATAAGAGCATGTACATATGAGTCCAAAAGTAAAGTAAATTTTGGAAGAGAGGTATCAGATGAGTTCCCAGTAACAACCGAACTTAGACAGGGAGATGCCTTATCATCAGCTTTGTTTAATATCGCATTAGAATCAGTTATGCGAAAGATACTAATCCAAGCCAAAGGAATAAAAATGAACAACAATAATGAATTAACCGTAATAGCTTTCACTGACGATATAGTCCTTATTGTCGAAACAGATAATGAACTGAGAAATAAAACTAGCATCCTACTAAGTGAAAGTAAAAAGATTGGTTTGAAGATAAATGAGTCAAAAATAATGTATATGATACTTTCGAGACAAAATCACTATACTAATTATTTAAAATTTGATGAATACAAATTTTAAATGAATACAAAAAAGGGTACAGAGCTTCAAGTTCCTAGGTACAGAGATCAATAAAAATCTTAATAGCCACGAAGAAGATAAAAAACGACTTTTGGCAACAAATCTATGTTACTATAGTCTAATGCCACTATTCAAATCAAGATTACTATCTATAAAGTCTAAAATAACGTTATACAAAGTCATAGCCAAACCAATTGCTCTATATGCAAGTGGAATAGGGACTACGACAACATCGGACGAAGGAAAGTTAGGAGTGTTTGAAAGAAAGATATTAAGAATAATCTTTGGTCCAATAAGAAACAATGAAGAATTGGATAATCTCTGTAAGGAACCTACCATTATTGGATCTCTGAAGAGCACGAGGATAAGTTGGGTGGGACATGTATGGAGATCAGAAGGAATGATTAGATCAATAAATAGATAGAAACCTGACATTAAGAGACCTCAAGGACGCTCTAGATAAAGATGGGTGGATAGAGTACAAGAAGATTTAAAACTTCTGAACGTAAGGAATGTAGAAGAATGTGCAATGATACAAAGGGGTGGATACAATATGTTGTTACGGTGATATTTTGTTGTAAGAACTACTAACTACAACTTGTTAAAATTAGATAAGACAATTTTTTAGTTAAAATCTCAGTGATGTTTGTATACTGGTAGTATTCATTTATAATGTTACCCTATATAAAGCTTGTAAAATTGAAAAATAGGATAAAAAAGTACAAATAATTTAATATGCAAATGAGAATTAAGCTAATGTTACCTCAAAATAAAGAAACAATTTGTCTTTCTGTGGCATCTACTTTGTGAGAACTTGTACAAATAAGGCTTATTTAGGACGTTATTGGCAATTCCAATTCAAAAAAATATCAATGAATAGATTAATATAAATTCTAAGTAATAGGAAATTCACTTCTATTGTTGTTTTATGATACACACATTTTATTTTTTAAAACTATTTTAGCATTCTTAGACTATGTAAAAAGCATATTTTGTATGATTAATCATTTATAAAAATAAACATTTATTATTTTTTTTAATACTTTTCTTATGAAAAATTCTGATGGGTCAATAATAATGTAAGGACAAGTACTAATGGGATGAGTATACTTGTTAATTAAAAGCTTGTAATACAATAAGTTCTTGATTTAAAGTGATTATCAACCTACCAAAATTTATCAATTTATAATCGAGTAAATATTAAATAACATAACTTATTCTTATTTAACAATATTTTAATTAGAATAAAAATTTCACCTCTGGATTTGAAGAGTTTGGTAATAAAAGGCTGGCAAAATATAACATTATGTATCCTGTAAGAAAACCCATCATTATTTTCATCATCATTGGATTTGTAGGATCCATAGGTTTTTTCCCATCTTTTTCATTTTTATTTCCATGAATATACCTTTGTAATACTTTTTTGTTAAAATAGATGTTTTCTTTTTTTAAATAATGCTAAAAATACAATAAAACAAACATTGAAAATATTTTATTTTGCTAGTATACATTAATTTCAGTGGTAGATTTAGTTTGCTTATAATGGTTTTATAACTAGTATATATTTTTGAAAACTTAAGTTTGTATTATCTTTTTCAAATGTTATTTTTCTTATAATAAAAAATTTCTTTAGCAAAATGTAAGCTCCTTTGGTAAATTACAATCAATGTACTAATTTATAAAAAAAAAATTTTTTACCTTATAATACTGTTAATTGTTTAAAAATTTTAATAGTTCTTACATAAATAACTGAGTTTTTAACTTTTATATAATTATTTAAAAATTATATTGCGAGTCAAAAATGACTATGGTTAAAAAAATAAGGGCCCTGGATTGTTTATTTAATTAAAAAATAAAGATTGAATAATATAAAAGAAAAAAAATGTTAAGTAAACCTTTTTAAATAAGATTTTTGATGTATTTGGTTCAAAAATATTTGATAGTCTGTTAGACCAAATAATATTAGTAGGTGAGTATTTGAGATGTAAAAATTTTGGTTTGATTAATCTCGTGCTTGATCTTGAAATCACATTTATTAAACTTAGACCCATGATATTGAACTTTTCTTCATTCTTCTCTAATTAATATAAGTACAACAAAATAAATTTCAAGAAATAAAAATGATTAAATAATATTACACATAAATTATGAAATCAAGATGTAATTTTTTTTAATTTGCATAAGAACTTTTCATGAAACTAAACAAAATTTTCGATTTATTAATCAATACAAATAAAAATTTTCATTTATCCTATGAATAATATAATCTGGGATGGACACAAGGCCTTATCAGGCAATCTAGTTTTGATATATATTTCTCATAGAAGGGAAAATTTTGAAGTAATGGCGCCTTTTGCTATTTTACATATATTTTCTCGGTCCCTACTCAGTTTTTAAAGTTTTATATTCTAAAACATGTTTTTCACTCGAGCTCATGATTAATTTTCTTTTGAATGAAAAATTACAAATAGGGTTATATAAAATACGCCTAGCGTAGTGGATAGAAACTGATCATTATAATGATAAGTCACAAAGGTTATCAATTCATCAGACTTGGTACAAATCACGATTAGTGTTATTATTATCACTTTTTTTAATGCTTTACAAGGCCATAAATTTTGCCCTCCCCAAAGGAGGTTTCTTAACCTATTTACTAATTTAAAAACTATATCAGTTTATATGGTAATGTTTACTGCTATAATAGCTGTGGCTGGCTTAATAAATTTTAAAACGTTCATGACAGTTTTAGTTGACATAACTAAAAAAATTAGTTCCTCATAACATATTTTGCTCGTGACATGATTATTAAGTTGACATTCAAACTTATCAAAAGTATAAAGACCTCAAAGAATTGGAAAACAAAAAATAATTTGTAAAACCATAGAAGTATATGAAAAATTTAAAGACAAAGTCATAAGTATAAAAAATCAAATTCAAAATATAAAAAATCTTAAACATTTAAAAGTTACTTTGAAAAAGTTAGATGCACTCATTGCATTTATTAGTGTTGCATTCAATAAAAATCCAACTATCCTATTAAAAAGCTAATAACAAAAAATAACTAGTAACTAAAAAATTATTAAACCAAATTCATTCTTTTTAACTAAAAATAAAAGACTTCAAAAAAACGGATGAAAATTTAACCCAACCAAAACCCGATGAAACTTGATTTTCATCAAACTAAATGTCAGATGTTAGAACAAAAATTTGTTCTAGCTCAAATTTAAATAATATATAAAAAATTTAATGAATCTCACCAAAGATTATCAAAACTAGAATTTAATTAATTTTAGTATCTCTATCAATTATAATAAAAAATTTAATCTTAATTAACTAGGTTAAAAATTATTTCAATATAAACATTAATAAAAAAAAATACTAATAAATTATTAATGTTTATTAGTGATTACCAAGTCGAAATATTTTACATGAGAAATAACCAGCGATATATTTCTGAGTGATTTAGTCATACGACCGCCAGGAGCGTTAATATGCAGAGAGTTTATATGTTATTTTGATAGGAAACTTTGCTACTGTATAATCAAGCTTCGTAAACATTCTATCTATAATTGTGATACATATATATTTTTAGGAAGAACAGTATTGTTATTATTATTAATATTACAATTATACAAAGAAGACAAATATCTAAATTTGTTTTTAAAACTGCTATACCACTAATTATTAATTGTATGAGTAACAATTTGAAGATTACTTTATTGATTGCTATTATTTTGTGTACATTATTTTAAAACCTTTTTGTTCATAATATATTACTAAAAGTAATATTATTCAAAGTAGTTTATACTTGGTGAAATTTTTCTAATAAATATCTACTTATGTGTGTTAATTTAATATCCGTTAGTTATTGTTAGTCAAGTTAAAATTGGATATTAATAATAATTAATTCGTGTGACATGCCTGTTGCAATGCATAGAAGACGTGTTAGTAACTTTACATATGTTAGTCCTTGTGTAAAATATATGATATTTTTACTTAATTTTCTATTCTGGGTAAGTAATTATTTTATGCAATCAAAATATTCTGTATATGCTTTTAATAATTTTCAACATTTATTACTATTTAGTTATTTGGTGGATTATTAGTGGCTGCTGGTACATTTGCATTTTATGAAAAATGGAACACTATGGGATCAATTAAACTTAACACTTTTTCGGATGTAATTCTCAATATATCATTAGTTTTAATTATTGCTGGGCAGATTATATTTATTGTGAGCTTTGCTGGTTGTATTGGAGCCCTCCGTGAAAATACTACTCTACTTAAATTTGTAAGTATAAATATATAATTAAAAATAAAATTTTTAATTAGTTAATTATTATATATAATTATAACTTTTATTAATTGAAATAACTACTATTTTGTTAGTAGACTAGTTTTCTTATAATCATAAACAGTCAAAAGTAGTAAAAATGTTACTATGAAAAAAATATTGTACACTGAATAAAACATCCTGTTAGTAAATGTGGTAAAACAATGAGTTCATAAAAATTTATTGACTATCTTTAACTTAGAAAAAGATTCTTAAAAATTGTGATGTTTATGAACATACATATAAATAACTAGTTATCAAAAGTTAGATTCTATAGAAAATATTACTAAAAGTAAAGTGATATTTATTTAAGAAAAAAAATATTGGACATTTTTATTATGGTCGCTCAATGAATTTAGGATTATTATTAGGGGTTTGTACTTCTTGAAAGTAAGTACATATTAAAGTATTACAAATATAGATGCATCTTTAATATGAAAACATAGGAAGTAATGATACAAAAAAAGTTTTAAGTCACAAAAATTAAATTTTTCAGAACAATAATAAACTGTCTATTACATGTTGACTTGTGAAAAACATCTTATTCTTTTCCATGTTATTTATTTGTTATACATATATTTTATTTTATTTTTTTATTAGGTTACTATAATTTGTATTTACTTTGTTTTCCCTGAAATAATTAATTTTTTTGTTCTAAGTAGCCTTCTCATTTCAATGTCTCATATCTCAACATATGTGTTTTAAGTAAGACAATTAAATCTACATTGTTTTATAATTACTTAGTTGAATGATAATAATGTTAATATTGTTAAAAATACTCTGACTCTTGAAGTAGTAAGAAAGGGTAAAACAGTAACAAATTGTCCCTAATTAAATGAAACGTACATGCATACAATGAATTTAATTGTATTAACCGTTAGAAGTTTTAATACTTTAACAACATGTAATAATTGAGTAGGCTAGAGTCAAAATTCTAAAATAATATGCATTATTCTTTCTCGCCTTAATCTCGACTACTTGGGGTCGGCCTCCCTTATCCTAAACTTCAACTTGACACAATCTCCTACATAATTTACACTCACATCAGATGTCTTCATATCACATTCAATAACATCTCTCCATCTCTTCCTCTACCTCTTCTTCCTTCAACATTCATTCTTACAACTGTTCTTACGGCTTCCGATTATTCTCTTCTCATAACATGACCAAACCATCTAAGTCTATTTTCTCTCATCTTATCCACAATTCATCATTCATTATCCTATCTTTTTTAGCCACTCCACTCATCCATCTAAGCATTCTCATCTCTGCTAACTCATTCTCTACTCTACTTTCTTATCAACTGCCCAACACTCTGACAACCATACATCATAGCTGGTCTCACTACAGTCTTTTAGAATTTACCTTTCAGCCTCATTGGAATTCTTTTATCGCATAAGACACCAGACACTTCTCTCCACTTCAACCACCCGCACTTAATCCTGTGTCTTATATTCTCATCAATACCACCGCTCTTTTGCACAACTGATCCTAAATACTTGAAACTTTCCACCTCTCCAATCATGTCCTTGCTTATTGTCACTGATCTCCTTATTTCACCTACCTCGTGTTCTCCTTTATCAATCTCGTACTCTATATACTCTATCTTACTCCTACTTATTCTTAAACCATTTTCTTATGAGCTGATCTCCATACTTTTAACCTTTGATTAATTTCCTCCTATTAACACTATATCGTCAGTAAACAACATACACCACTGTACCTCTCCTTGTATTTCTTAAAGCAGAATCCTGATGCACTCCTACTCTTACCCTAAAACCTTCAGTTACTCTTCCCACACTTTTTACCCTGGTACAAGTGCCATTATACATATCCTCTATTATACTTTAACAACACATATTAATTGAGTTGGCTAGAATGAAAATTCTGAATTATTAAGCATGAAAGTTATTTTTATATTGTAGAAGTATCCTATGTTAAAAAACCCTTTTTACAACAATTTTGTATTTTTATAGAAATTTTTTTAGTTAGTTTTGATTCTAACCTACTCAATCAGGTAGTATTAAACTTCTAAATTATTTCCAGAGAAAATTAATTATACAATTAACATATATGTGAAAAATGTTGTCATCTTCTAGTTTAAACTGAATATTATTTAAATGAAAACTATAATTAGCTATCATTTATATATTATTTATAACTCATTCTTCTACTTGAAGGTTTTAGTTTAAATTTGGCAAAATGATAAAGTTGTTAAAGTAATTTGTATTAGTAGTACAATTATATTTATAAAAGTATCACCTTGGTGTTCATTGTTATTAAGTGTTTAACTTAAATGTATTAAGTCTAGACAGTTTATTACTTTTTTAAATAATTTTTTAACTATATCTGTAATAACTTAATAAAACTATTTAAATGATGTTTTACTTTTTAACTATTAGAAATAAAGTAAGTTGATTCAATATTATTCTGTGATATTATCAATTAATTACTTTAATTATCAATTAACAATAAATGACTATTATATATCTCACATTCTTTATAAATAACTTTAAGTATTTTTTTTTTGCTTTTATTAATTTAAAGTATTAGTTATTTATGGATGTTAAAACACAATGCATTTACTTATTTTCTTTCAGTTTTCATTCAAGTATTTAATTGACTATTTTTCAAAAAAATATAATGACAAAAATATTAATGCACTAAATTTGCAAAACATAAATAAATCTTACATTGAAAAAAATAAAAATGAAAGTGTTTTTCAACAACTTGATATCTATGATGAAATTCTTAACTTACAACATTTAAGAAATTATTACACAACCAATTCTAGACCATTAGAGTTTAAACAAATTAAGTTTTACAATGATTGTATTGCTATAAATAGAGATCAAATTTTGAATTTGATGTATAGCACAATTAATCAGAGTAATAATAGTGCTTGGAGATTGTATAGGCAAACTAGGATATCAGCTAGTTCTAAAGCTCATCAAATAAAAACAAGACGAGCCAGGAATGAAGATTTAGCATTAAGATTCATTAAAGATAAAAAAATGATTGGCAAAGGATTAAAGTATGTAAATTATGGAATAGAAATGGAAGATTTTGCTCTTAAAAAGTATTCACTTATAAATAATGTACAAGTTATTAAATGTGGTTTAGTTATACATCAGAAACAGCCCTGGATTTGTGCTAGTCCTGATGGTATTGTTATTCAAAATGGTAAAGTTGAGAAACTATTAGAAATAAAATGTCCTTATAATTGTAAAGATAGTTTGTTATTTGATGAAAAAAAACAAATAAATATTCCATATTTACATTATGATAAAGAAAATAGTATCATTTCTTTAAAGAAAAATCATTGTTACTATACTCAATGTCAAATTCAATTATATTGTACTGGATTAGAATTGTGTGATTTATTTATTTGTACCAAACGTGATTGTATAACTGTCACTATTATAAGAGATGAATTGTTTCTTGAAAAACTTATCAAAAAAATTGAACTTTTTTATTTTAACTATTTTCTTCCAAAATTAACTTGTGTAAATACATAACGTGAACAAATTGTTTAATGATTTAGATGCCTCATTTTAAACTTATTTATGATAAATTTTAGTGTGATTTTAAAAAACTCTAAAATATGTTTTTAATTTTAATATTAATAAATGATATATTAAGAAATATTTGTTTTTTTTCTACTCTAATTCTTCAACTAAAGACATTACTAAACAATAAATTTACTGAATTAAACAACTAATACCTAGAATTTTAAGTTTTAGTACCTTGCTCTGAGATTTGCCAGCTAACTAGATGACACATTAGAATATATTCAGTGGTTTAGTAATAATAAATTTGAATACTATTATAATACAATAGTATATCTGTATGTAGCAATATTTTGTTTAGTTTTTATATACCTTATTTAGGACCAAAATAATTTTTTTAAAACTTATTTTAATCTTGCAGATAAGCTTCTATACAGTGATTATCTTCATGTGGTATTGTATACAGGGTGATTGATTTATTATTCACCACTAAATATTTCTTTAATAAAATAATAATTTTGAAAAAAAATGACTGATTTTGTTTTGTTTTATTTATTTCTTGACTTAAAAGTAGTAAAAAATTTTTAGGTCTACCTTTTATCTCTTATAAGGATACCTATGTTTTCTTTAAATGGTAACATACATATTTAACTAACTTATAAAATAGAAAAAAAGGTTAATTAAGAAAATGACTGGTCAATAATAATTTTTTAACCAATATTTCAGGAGTTGTTAACAACTATAAGTATTGACTGGATGTGAGATGCGGGTTATATTATTTTGCATTTCTCTGCTACACTATGTCTTTCATCCAGGTAGAAAAATATTTATAACTCTTGATTTATTGGTTCAAAAGTTGTTATTGAATGGTTATTTTTTATGTTCTATTTTATAAATTATATAAGTATATATATTTTTCTTTTAAAAAATATATTTAGTTACCTTATAAGGGATAGACCTAAAAATATTTCACTGCTTAAATAAAATAAATAATTAAACCTATAAAATGTAAGACTATGAGTCTATATAGTCTATAAGGTTGAAACCCAGAATTAACAAAAATTCCTAATATTATAGTAGTTCTTTAGTAAACATCAAAAATAAAAACTAGTTAAACAAAGTCAAAAAAAAATTGTTTAGTTACTATTTTAGGAGAAATTTAGTAATCAACAATAAATCAATCACCCTGCACTTAAATTGTTGCATCTAAATGTTTGTAAGAAAATTTTAACTTACTAAATATGTAAAAACATATTAGAATTTCAGAAAAATCGTCTTGATTAAACAAATAGTGTGCTTTTTAAAAATAAAATTCAGGGCTTGACTGTTTATTATTTATTTATTTATTTTATCAGTCAATTAAATATTGACTGATTAATTTTTGTAACAAAAATTTCTATAACTTTTATTTAACCTTGAATTTGTATTAATAAGAAGTTGGTGACTTTTATAAAATTAAATAACACTACTGGACAAACTATTTAAGAACAATATGTAAAACATTTACCTTAAAATTATTATATGTAATATAATGCAATTGTATTATTTTACGTTTCAGTTTTATGTTCTTGTACATAATATAATTTTATAGTTTTATATAATTTAAATAATATGTTTTTTCATCATTCATAAAAATACATATTTTTTATTGTACGATTTTATTGGCTCCAAATCTAAACTATAGTTTTTATGATATTACTTAAAACTTAAAAATAATATTTTATAATTTTTCAGTATTCATTATGCTTACTCATATTCTTTTTATTTGAAATGGGTATAGCAATTCTCGGTTTTGTTTTTCCCCATAATATGCAAGCTACGTTAGAAGAATCATTTACTGACAAAATAATTCATACTTATCGAGATGATCCAGATTTACAAAACTTGATTGATTTTGCTCAAAAAGAAGTAAGGCTTTCTTTTAAAATTAACTTTAAGTTAAAATACTATTAACAATCATATCTAATGAAGTAGAGATTTAAAGAACCTTTATTTTTGAAATAAACTATAATCAAACCAAACTTTTCCTTAAAATCGACATCAGACCAAACATAAATATTTAATTAGCTTATGAAATAAAAAATAATGTAATTAAAAAAATTACTGGTTGATGACATATTTTGGACTAGTATTTAAGGAGTTATTAACAATTAAAAATATTGACTAATGTGAGGTGTGGATTATGTTATTTTTATCATAATAAATTTCTCTGCTGCACTACTTCTTTCATCCAAGTAGAAAAATATGTATAATTCCTGAATTACTGGTTCTAAAGTTGTTATTGAACAGTTAATTTTTTATTTTCTATTGTATGCTCAATTTAAGTATGTATATTTTCATTTAAATACCGGTAGCATAGTGGGGTCATGGGACAGTGTAGATGTGGCATAGTTAGGACAAGTACAGATGATTTCTGCAAGTGATTAAAATTCCTATTATAAGAAAGGGTTCAATGCAAAACTGTAAATTGTGTTTAATTTTAAAAAATTAGTGAATTATTCCAAAAACAACATCAACTTCTATTACTTTATTTCACTATTTTTTTGGTCCTGTAAAGTTAATTTTATGAAAGTTAATAAAAATAAATATTAATAATAATAATTAATAAAAATAGGTTGAACTTTTTACTATAACTTTTTGTAACTTGCAAATTTGAAATTGACATCATTTAATAGAAAATTTTATGAGAGTTAAAAAAATGGTATTATTAAGATTAATATGCTGTCAGGAAATTGTATATTTACTATTTATGCTAAATTTATGAGAAAACCTGAATATTTTATTGAAATAAATATTTTTTCTGCATTTTTATCGTAATAAATAATTTTAATAGAAATCATTTCTATGTAACTCTTGGTATTTAAAAAGATCCTACAATTAAAATATTTAGATGAAACCAAAAATTATTTTTTTTTTTTTTAGAATTGATTTAAACAGTAAAATTAGATATGTAATTAAAAAATTGAAAGTAATAAAGTAAATATATTTTAACTTTGTAGTTGCAACCTGCTATCCTATCAAACCTGATTCGAAAATAAAAAACATTAGTAATTTAGATTTTAATTGTCTATATGGAGAATGTGAGCTAAGTAACTTTTTAATTAGAAATTTTTTCAATTTTTAAGGGTATTATCTTCAACTAGATACAAATTTTAATAATTTCACGTATCTTTGAAAGAATGTTGTCAAGTATAAGCTAAAAAAAAAGGAACAGGCACAAGAAAAAATATCATGTAATAAAATAATTTTAATATGAATAAGAAATTACTTTTCATGAGAGTAGACTACAGTAATAAAAATCAAACAAATTTTGAATAAAATAAAAAATTGAGTATTTTAACACAAAAAAATAGCAACTTTTTAAATACGGTAGCTATTTTCAGCATGAAGACAATCCAGAGTTCAACATTTTTTTTCAAATTAAAGTATATTACATAAGCTTTAATTTAAGATCTATATAAAAGTGTCAGTATTTCTGGAATATTTTCAAAAATTAAGCTGAAAAAGTTAATTTTTAGTAAAAACAGTACCATTTTGAAACCCTCCCTGTGGGTAGGTAAAGGGTCAGATTTTCAAAAAAATATACCAAATAATAGGTAAATACCTAAGGTATCTATAAAAAAATTTTGTTTTATTCATTCATTTTTCAAAAAGTTATAGCAGTTTTATTTAAAAAAAATTTGTCCCGACAACTTATCTTCTACATAAAAATGACTACTTAAGTTAAAAATATTATTTTTATGTTAAAATTTTCGATTTTATGTTTTAAACCTTAAATTGCCATGAATTTTTGAAAAATGTATGGATCAACACGAATTTTTGTTTCTAAATACTTTATATACTCTTACATTTTGTCTGACATACTTTTTTTGTTAATCGAACAATTTCCCCTTATACAGTGGATACTTTGAAACATACTTATTAAAAGTAAAACTTTTTCAACTTAACTTTTGAAAATTTAAATACTGCGTCTTTTAAATATATGTTAAATTAAAACTTATGTTACTTACTATAATTAAAAAAAATATTTGTTTCAACAACCTAATTTTTTTGGAGATTTTCCTTATTTACAAGGAATGAGGGAAAATTTTCAATTTTTAAGACAATGTCTTCAACTAAATACAATTTGTGATATTTTGACATATCATTGAAAGAAATAGGTCCGGTGAGAACTAAGAAAAAGTCGTGACAGACATAAAAAAAAACACATCATAGTAACATTAATATCTTCTCAGCTTCACATCAAAACTAAAAGTTTAAAAAAATACACATATTTAAAATTGTAATTTTTGGGTTATTTCCTCTATTTACAGGGAATGAGGAAATTTTTTTTCAATTTTGAGGGTAATGTGTGACTAGAAACGACTTGTGATCTTTTGATATTATGTTCATCAAAATCGGTCCAGTGAAAGCTGAGAGTAATTGGTAACAGACACAAAACATCATAGTAAAATTAATACCTTCTCAGTTTTGCATCGAAGCTAAAAAGGGATTTTTCAAAGCTAATTTTATGTTGGTTTTCGGTAAAATTACAAAAGTTGAAATTTTTACTATAGAAAGTCAACATTTGTAGCAATTTCTTATATAGTGCTTCAATGTGACTAAAATAGATTTTTAACAGATATAAATGTAACTAACAAAAGTCAAAAAATTTGTTTTATAAGAAATTGACTAGATAGTGTAAAAATGAATCACTCAGTACACTTCACATAAAAAAAAAAATTGAGATTCTTGATCCCTTCTTTATGTATATGGATGTTGAAGAAAAAGTATGATTTTTATAAAAAAAATTCTAAAATTCAAAAAATATATATATCTATTGTTTTACAATAATTTTTCTATGAAGGTTATTATACAAATTAGTACCTACTTCATATTTATTTAAAGAGAGAGTGATTGAGGGATCAATGTCCCTTAATCACACATTACTTACACTGAAGTATTTTATGATAAATATTTTAATAACTATTAAATTTCAATTTATACTGATTACCCTGGTCTATTCATCACTATCTTTCCTTAAATAAATTTTTTTTTTTATTTTTTAGTTTCAATGTT